TCTTCAACAGTGAATAGTGTATTTATTTTCTTAGGAGAAATGTTCCTATTTTTTAAAAAAAGATATTGAAATGTAGCGTACTGAATTCTGCCTGTTCGAGGGCTTCTGTTTGGAGTGTTACATATGTGTGAGAGTGCATGTGTGAGTGTGTGTGAGAATGTGTATTTGATATCCATTAGCAAGAAGATGCCTGGGAGTCGCTTGGTCCTTCATCCCTCAGGGTGGGGGTGACTGGAGTGACATAGCTGGAGGGGTTCCTGCTTGCTGCTGTCAGGGAGTCTAACTTCACTAGTCCTAGACAAGTTGTATAATTTTCCATAGCTCAGTTTTCCTATCTAAAACTTTCTTGCCACAGAGTAACTGTTAGGATCAGGGAGTATAATAATAAACCCAGAAATAAGTTCATCGCCCAAAGTGACAAGCTTATTAGTCACTGGATGCCCACCCAGTGTCAAGGCCTTCAATATACATTCCTTTCCCCGTGGGTGCAAAACACTAGCCTCAGAAGTCCCAATGCTCACACGCTTTCTCTCTCTAGCTCTCACACTCCCACCCACACATACTAACCCAGATAGACATGTTCTAAAGCTTTATGGTGAGACACTGTGATGTCAGTGTAAAAGGGAAGATAGGCTAGAAAATGTGAGTTTACAGAGAACAATAGAGACCAGCTATACACTAGGGCCTTCAACAGAGCACAGAGAATAAGTGGCTGTCTTCATGTCAGCCTTATAAGGGCTGTGGGCCTTGTCCAAATGCCAGTTGGGTCTGGGTGGGGGGACACTGCCACTCAGGAAAGGAGCCCATGATGTTTCCACTGAGTGCTGGAGGCCTCACTGCTGGTTGCACGGCACAAGTTCAAATCCCAGTCCCATCACTTAATACCTGCGTGAACTTAGATGAAATGTCTATAGTTTAGATCTGGAATGTCCCCCAAAAGCCAATGTCATTAGGAGGTAGGATCTAGTGAGAGGAAGTTAATGGACTCCAATGTCTTTTGGGCATGTCCTTGAAGCCATATTGGAATCCTGGACCCTTCCTCTCACTCTTTATGCTTACTGGTCACCACAAGGTTGACAGATCTCTTCCACCATGTGCTCTTTCCATGATGTACTATACTACTGCAGGTCCAAAGCAACAGAGGCAAGTGACAATGGACTGAAACCTCTGAAATCAAGAGCCAAAATAAGTATTTCCTTCTTTTAAGCTGGTTATCTCAGGCATTTTGTTGCAGTGATGGAAAGCTAATTAATACGACTATTCTAACTTCATTCTACCTCAGATTTTCATAAAATGGGGGTCATAATAACATATTTTTTCAGGGCTACTGAAATAATAAGATGTTCCAGAAATTTTTTTGTACAGTTGCCTGGGTAGCCATAAGTGCTCAGTAAATGTTACCTCTAGTAATAACTATTACTATTAATTTTGACAGACTCAGATGCAATATATACTAGGACTCTCTCCCTATCTCCCTTATTAGGACCAATTAGGTCATCAACTTTCTAAGCCTGCTAATATATCCTCTTTCAGACAAACTCCTGCATGGAATTTCAGATTTGCTATCAAAACACATAGCAGCACTCATTCTGGATTGCTGAATAAGAATTTTTAGTATCTGAAAAACATGGTGGCTGTAGAAGTTATCCTATTTGACTTCTTCACATCTTCAACTCAGAGGTTAAGGCCTTAATTCACCTGCTATTAACTAAAAAGCACAATGTTTAAATTTTCATTGCCACGACTCTAGTTTGGGTAGTTTCTTGATGTATTTCAGACATCACATTTAATTGATTAAGCCAGAGGTCTTCAGAGGAAAATGTGGGGGAGGGGCTCTAGGCTCTAAGAAGGTACTGCTTTGGTTTTCATCAGCAAATGAAATATACTACTAATTTGTCCAGTCGGGGTCTGGCCAAGGTGGCAGGATTAAATAAGAACACTGCAGGTGTTCATATGAGCAACACATCTGATGGAGTAAGAAATGTGGGTGAGAAAGAGAAGTCTCTTTCTCAGCTTGTTTACTTCATATGTGGGTCTGTGTGTGTCTGAGACCTGTAGCTTCTTAAGGCTAAGCCATAACCAACTTTCCATTCAGTCATGGGACTTCCTGCTATGTCTTGCTTTTCTAAGGTGTGCGAAGTTGGGAATGGTAGGATCTTTGGGAACCTGTATGAATGGCAGGTGGAATAAAAATATGAAACGGATTCCTGGCTGTAGTTTGTATTCTGATATTTAATTAGACTGAAGTTTAGTTGATTAAACCATAATATTGTAGAGGCCATGGTATCTACACCAGGCCCCTCTTTGCAAGGGAAGTTTTTCTCTCCATGCTTATGGGGCTGTGGTTTGTTAGGAAGTATATGACTCTTCTCTTTGGCCACAGTTGATTGGACTAGGAGTGGGCACCTGACTCAAGTGCAGCCAGTCTATTGGTTGGTGGTGAACTGTAATTTATGATCTATGAGTTAAAGCACAGAGCTCCCTTGTTTTTGTTGAGATATTCAAATTTCAGGCAATCTTTCTGTGTACTCTCTTTATTTAGGGGGATCACTGTTGGTTGCACGCCTTTTATATTCTGCATTTTGATATTCCCTATTAAAGTGGATTCCACATTAAAGAGATCATTATAAAGAGCCATAAACTCTTTATTCTCTAAGTTTTGTTATATAGTTAGATGTGCCTTCTTTATGACGTGATGGGTACAGAACTGATGAAAGTTTGGGTAATCAATACCTGATTTGTTCATATATATGACAGAGAGAGATGCTGACTTCATACAGCTTTTTTTAGACACGGTGTGGAACTCTTCTTTGTTATTTCATGTTTTCATTTTGTTTTTTGAGATAGCGTCACTCTACGTAGTCCAGGCAAGCCTTGAACTTTTGATCCTCCTGCCTTAGCCTCTTGAGGGCTGGGCTCACAGGCGTACACCGCCACTCCCAGTTTATGTTAAGCTCTTTGAAGATAAGTCAAAGATTAATTAGATACAGATCCTGACCTTCAAGTAGTTAATGGAATTAAGCTTGGATGCTGAAGGAAGTGCTAATGCCATCCCTGGGACTACAGAAGAGAAAGGAGGAGTTAGCTTGATGGAACCAGTTACAGCATGTGGGGATGTACACATGAACTGTGCTTAAAGCCTCGTGGGATTGGAACACAGGGAGCTGGGGTGGAGAAGGTCGTCTAGATTCAGACTATGGTTTTCAGGGCATCGTGTAAAATACTTTGCACGGACTAAGTTATGTTATTTGTTTCTGTGGGATTTTTTTCTTTCTTTTTTCCCTGCCAAAGCACATTAGGAAGGAGATTAGGGCCAAGGAACCTGGGGCCAACACACATGGTAAGGTAATCAGCACAACTCATAGCCTGCCCTGGCCAACCCAGAAGTTCCTTTAAACCTCACACAGCCTTCAGGTTTCAAGTCTCCCAAGGTTTTCATTCTATTTCAGAAACTAAGTTTGCCTTCTTCAAGTCAAAGTACAACCTCTATAAAAATATTAAATCAAGTTGAAAAAACTAGATTTCTTCTTTTCCCTTGCTTTTTAGCTATTCTTCATGTTTTTTTTGGTTCCAAAATATCTGTGGAGCTTGTAGTGTATGTAGAACCCCCTGTTAGACACTGGATCTGGGGAGGGTCAGACTGCACAGCTGGCAATCTGAATCTCCTGGCACACTTTGGCCACGGTAGCTGCCCACCTTCTAGAAGCAAATGCAGAGCAAGCACCAGAAGAAAGAGCAACAACTGTAACTGAACCCAATGGAGGGAGGGAACATTTTTCCCCACGGGGCCAACAGAGCAGCCCATCAAGAGAGCGTCTTGCTCTGTTTTCCTTGGGAGTCTAAGAGACAGCTGCACACAACAGAGGCAAAGCCAGTTGGGAACCATGGAGCTAGCTAGTGTGGTGTGTTCTCTTGAAATATTACGGAAAGGCTTTGCGGATGTAAAGACGGGTTTTTCTCTCTCTGCTTTGCACAGCAGTGTAATTTCCTCCCTTGATTTCTGGGCAGAAAGTCAGCATTCCAACAAGATGTGCTTTAATTGATTGCAGCTATTATATCCCCTGGCTTTCATGCATATGGTTCAGCACATAAGAGACACATGGAATTTTAAATGTAATCATCTTCTTTTCTGTATGAAGGAAACTTGACCAAGGCATTGGGAAAGGGAAGGGTGCGGGGGTGGGGAGTGGGGGTGGGGAGTACTTGGTGTGCAGGGATTGAGGTAAGAATTTGAAACTTCTTCAATATATCTTTTGGTTCCACAAGTTTTTGGATCTGTACTCTGGCTTCTAAATGGATTGGTGTTGCTCCTAGGCAGTCCAGTTACCCCGGATTAGGAAAGTCACTTGCTCTGCCCTTCTGCCCTGAGATGATCTTTCTCATGATTAGCTTTCAATGCCTCAACTACCCCAGGACACCCCTGCATCTGAAATGCTTACTGGTCCATTTAGTGGTGCAGTATGAGATTTTTTTTCTTTTCAATTTAGATGATGAGAATTTGAGAGCAAAGCCAGGATATTAGCATATCCTTCTCCAGCATATTTTCATTATTGCCTGGCAAACCTTTAGGTAATATGTTTTAAATTAAAGAAAAGTAGAACATTTCAGTACCAAGCTATTCCTAGAACCAATGATTATTTGGAGAACGTGGCAAATTTGCCCTGATCCACACACATAAAGCATAAGTCTACAGCAAGAGGGGAACCCTGAAATGTTTTAGCGGAAAAATTGGACCCTCTCAACTCCAAATAATTATATTGATAAGAACATTTATGTTTACATCTCAAATTTTGTCATTGTGAGAAGATACCATTCTGTCTTTTGTGGTCAGTTTGGTTCAGTTGCTGTTCATCCCTGCTTGGGAGAGGGCCAAGGGTTTCCCTTCCTGCTCCTTCACAGGCAGAGGGGCCCAGACCCTGCTGGGCAAGTGGTTAAGTGCTCAGCCAGCTCTCTACTCTGCTCTGCCACCCTGCCCACTCAGCCATACTCTGGCCACTTACCTCACTCTCCTCAACAGGGGGTGGAGGGATCTCCTTGATAATCTGCAAAGTAAAAAAAAAAAAAGACCAAGTCAGTAGAAATCTTTAACCATCTGTTTTTGAAAAGGCCTGCTCTTAGGAGGTGACTTGGTTGTGTGGCTGTTATTACCATGGAAATGGCCTCAAGCAAGGCAGATAAGCAGTGTCATGCCTATCTAGCTCAGTTAGTTACAGCAGGACCCAGGATGAGGGTTGCATTCTCAGTGTTGTAGTTTTGATTACAGATAAAGTGTTTCACAGCTAAGTTTCATCTCTTCCTCTAGGCAGCTGTCTTGCAACTGTACTCACTCATTTATCGATCCAGTCATTCATCATTAAATCATTCATCCCTCTCTCTGACCATCTACATATTTAAAAAAGAATGGTTACACAATGGAGGTTAAGGAGGTGCTACAGATATGAGCTGGCTGTGAAGCATGCTCAGGTAGCAGGCAGTCCTCTATTACTGTGCTAGTAGGTACTGGTGGAGAAACGATGGGATGGTCGGGCTGAGCAATTCCTGACAAAAGGAAGCAAAAGAGGAATGTCCAGGGATCTCTTTTAGGGCACTGTCATTTAGGGACACAAAGATTTCAATAGCAACTTTTCTTTTTTTTTGTGGCAGTACTGGAGTTTGAACTCAGCGCCTCACACTTGCCAGGCAGGTGCTCCACCATTTGACTCACTTTGCCTCGTTAACAACTTTATAAGACTGCAAATGCCCCAAAATTATGGTGAAGGGAGATACATGGACATTTTGGGTGGGCTAATAATTAGGAGCCCCTTCTCCATGAGAGGATGGATGATCCAGGACAGAAGGACAGGGAAGGAGGATGGCTGGGTGACATACTGGTTCCCAATTTTCACACCCCATAATAAAAGGAAAGCTCTTGAAGTTTATTGAATTTAGGCCTCTTATGTGGCAGTTTGCTATTTTTTATTGTGACCCACTATCCCTCGGGGGCTTCCTACTCTCAACCAGAATTGTGGGTCTTCTATATGGAGTGTTTTTCTTATGAGGACTTCTAGGAAGTGCAGAGATATTACATCTCTTGATGTCTCAGCATCTTGGCTGCCCACTTTGTAGATGTGTGGGTGTCCAGGCATTGCCCATAGGACCCATTCTTTAGTCTTACATTGGGGGTGCTCACTCTTGCTTCAGCCTTTCTGGCATCAAACTCCTTGTCACCTCTCCTTATTACATAAATATCTCCTCTGATTCCATTATTCTGAGACCTCCAGTGTCCACTGCTGTACCCACCCTACCTTATGTGCAATGTCATCTCTGTATGATGAGACAGGCTACCAACCCCAGCCAGTGGACTGAGACTCTGAAAGTCTGGTATTCAATTAATTGAAGAGGCAGAGATAAAGGCCTCCTGGGACTTCAGACTATCATTTCATCTGCCTCCACTTCCTGGCTGCTGAGGGAAGCCATGATTTTGCTCACCCACTCAACCTTGGGTCAGAATTCCTTGAGAAAACCTCTGGGGAGAACCATTACTACCCATTGCTGATTTCCCAGAATCCTAGGGCAGCAAATTATTTTAAAAGAGGAAATGCTTGAAAACTGGAGGAAGAGATGAGGAGCTGGGGACATCAACTTGGAAGGAAAGGAGGGGAGTGAGAGGGAGAGCTGAATGTTTGGGATGCAGTAAGCTGCTGACAGAGTGTGATGGACCATGTGCATGGCAAGGGTCTTGGCTATGAAGAGGTTTGGGGCAGGGAAGCAGGCTTTTGTCTTCACAGTGATATCAGTTGCTCCTTCCCTTCATGGAAGCCCAGCACAGCTGTCAGATATGAACCCCAGAACTTCTTTCTCCTGACTGTGGGGATTTGAGAAGTTCCTTCACTTCCCTGAGCTCTACTGTCAAGAAGAACATGAACCTTGCAGGAGTTGAGTCATGATGAACACTAGGGTGTTACACGCCTGGTACAGAGTTGGTGCTCCATAATAGTGCACATGATTTGGACTCTTCTTTCCCTTTCTTGTCTGCCTCTCTCCTTTATTACATCTTTAATAACCCCTGCACACACCAGATGATGGTGCATGGTGGCTTCCAGATGGAGGTGCCAAGAGGCCAGAGCTTCATAAAATGAGTGAGATAGGAGGCTGGTGTCTAAACAGTGGCCAGGGGCACATGATACTGGCTAGGAAGTATAGAACCAAGTGGCCCATCACTCAGACCAACCCATCTATGAGGTTGCTGCTTGATTTAATTTATTAAATATTTATTGAATATCTACTGTATATCCTACATTGTACCAGACCCTGAAGGGGATCCTAAAGGTGAGACTGAAACATATGATTCATTAAATTTGAATCAAAGGGGAGTTAGTCTGTAATCCAGATTCTACATCAACACAGTGTAAGTTGGGTACTTCAACTTCTGCAAACCATGTCCACGTAAAAAGGAATTGGGCCCCTCCAATCTGGCCTCACCGTTTGGGGGTCTGGCGGGAATGAGGAAGAGGTTTTCATATTGAGCCCATGTACCACAAGCCTGCCCTGGGGAGAGAGCAGCTCACCCATAGGTCAGCAAGATAGTATTTAAAATTGTGGTCTAGACAGGTGAAACCTGAAGTCATGGGATGATTATTTAAGCAGTGAAATTGGACACAATGTCTGTGAGTGCAATTCTGATGCCAAGACCAGAACACAGACCACCCAAAAAAGTGCTCTGAGCATTCCCTTGGTGACCCCACGGAGGGCTAGAGCCCATGTTGCTTGCAATGCTGCTTGGGGCACAACCTGCCTCACTGTCCAGCTTGTAGCCCCACTGCAAGCGGCCTTTAGAACAAAAATCTCAAGGGCTGGAGCTCAGGTCTTACTAATTAAAACCTGACAATGGCTTCCTGTGGCTCACAGAATAGAATGCACACTGGCCCCACCAACTCTGCAGCTCAGCTCTGTCCTTCAGTCTCCCTTCCTGTTCCTTCCACAAGCCCTGAGAATTCTCTGCAGAGTCTGTTGCCTAAATGCTTGCCTCCCACTCCATGCTCAACTATAGCCCCGCACGTTCCCCCTGACACCTACTCATGGGACAGGTCGCCAGTACAGTACATGCACCTCCCTCGGAAAGTCATAGAACAGTGAGGTCCCCTTTTTGGGATCTAACAACGCCTGTGTTTTTTGAAGCACTTTTAATCACAAGTGAAGGGTAAATTACACAATTCTTTGCTTCTAATCAACATGACCAGAAAGTCTTTATTTCTAACTAGAATATAAGCTAGCGTCAGCTATCAAGCCCTGGTGTAATCTGGCCCACTTTCCTTCTTCTCAAGTTATGGTGGATTCTTCCTGCTTGTGTGTGGGCTCTTCAGCTCCTTCCTCTTTAGGAGGGGTCATGAGTAGATGGAGAAGGTTAAAGAGATCCCTAATTAAAAAAACATTTATAAGCATAACAAGGTAGAGCCATGGCCATAATGAGTAGCCAGTGCAACTTCCCTACTCAACTGCCATCTTCAGACTGGGTATTTGGGGTGGGCAGAAAGTGACCATTTGCCTCCTTGGGATGGCTTCCCCGGAGCCTCTTTCACACTAATAGTTGGAATAGTGAAGCCAAGGGGATAAGAAAAATGAATGAATTCTACTGGTGTTTCTTTGCAACCTGAGAATTTCTGGCAGCTGCTGTTGAGTTGGGAGATGCATCCTTTACTGTCTTGTCAGTGACTTTAATTCTGATTTTACCCATCTCTGTTCAGGAAGAGATGAGGTGCAGACCACAGCTGATAAAGACTATTGTACAGATAACAGAAAGTCAGAAAAGGACAAAGAGAATCTTATTGAGATATTACTTCTCATCGAGTCAAAACAAATTCATTTAAGTTTTCTGTACACCCGAGTGCGGCAGTTAGAAGTGACAGTGATGGAAGATGCTGAGATGTAGTTAGCCTGGGATGAATCGAACAGAAAGATCATGCAAGCCAGGGCCTGACTGGCAATTGCAGTTTCTGTAAAGCTGTCTCTTACCATTTAGCCCACAAAATGTAATGATGGAGTAAAGCACATGCTGAGTTCATTTTGCTTGTTATTATGTCTTCGCCTCTGAAATTATTGAAGTTTTGCTTCTGATTCAAAATCTTGGTCCTTGCTGCTCTGTTTGCCTTGCTAATTCTGCTGTCATGGTCTCGTGCCAGGGTGTGTGAATGTCACGTGGTCTCACTTCAGCACCAGCACCTCCTCCCCAGCTGATCTCCGCAGTGGCTCACTGGGCAGGGATTTGGCATCGAGGGTCAGATCAGTATGTCAGAAGAGGAGCAGGAAGACACAGGCCTGGCTGTCCCTGCCACGTCTCTATCTTGTCTTCACCACTTCACGTTGCTTCTCCCCTCTGGCCTGTTGCCTGCCTCTGTAAGGGGAGTTGGCTGCGGGCTAACCCCGCACACCCCCAGGACACAGACACAGACACTCATTGTGTGGCATGAGACTAAGGAATTAAATTTTTGGCCCTTTCTTCATGAGCAGGATCTGGGGAGTCTCCTGCAACCCCTTTACACCAAAAGCCTGTTTTTTCCTTTTTTTTTTATTTTGCTGCAAAGGAAACACTTCCTCGACACACAGGCCAGAGCCATCTAGACAAGGTCCAAGTGAACAGCTGAAGAAAACTACTCTATCAACAAAATTAGGCACGTGTCTTCTAATTTTAATTATTGCAGCAGTTTCCAATTTTCTGAGTATCAGAATCACCTGGAGGGCATTTGAAAGACTAGATTGCTGGGCTGCACTGCCAAGTTTCTCCTCGGCAGGTCTGGGGCCGGGCACTTGCATTTCTAACAGGTTTTCCAAACGATGTTGACCCTGCAGGTCTGTCAATCACATCCTGAGACCCAGGATTAGCTTATGTCTAAGAACTCTGTATGTCAGTAAGGTATGTTTTGCTTTAGATGAGATTCCTACTGGCACTCTGCTGGGAGTTGCTAATGGGTGAGTAGAAACACCAGTTTTAAGATGAGCGTGGTGATGCATGCCTGTAATCCCAGCACTTGGAAGGCTGAGGCAGGAGGATTGAGAGTTAAAGGCC